GGTTTGGTTTGGGGGATTGTGTCTGTGGGAACATGTGGATGTGGTTCGTATCTCTAGACAAATGTATTATCCAGTTTCTATAACTCAACGGTCTTGTTTAGATTTTGATTCAATAAATGTTAACTAGACCACACAGTCATTTAATTAAGGATGTCGCATAACTCATGAGTGCTTATGGCTGGCTTATAAATCGACAAATTCTCGTGGTGGTCTCTGTTGTTTCAACTTATGTCTCTGCACCTGTCTAATAAACACAGGCTAGATTATTTGTTCTCATGAGAAAACGAAGTCATGCATTGCATTGCATAAAAACGTTATCTGTTCATTGAGTGATTTCGATCAAGAGAAAGAAGAAGTGATTCTGTGACCGGAAGAAATTGAAATACACAAAAGAGACTACAAAAGTTGAGCTACATCGGAGAATACGAGTTTGTTTACATGTCTCATTGTTCCTCACACTTCTCCCATACTTTATCCCAAAAGGCCAAGCTCAATTCTTTAAGAGTTTGTCATCGAAGTTGCGCATCTGACTCGATTTAACCTGATACGTATAAAGATTTATCAGTCTATCGGATTCATCAAGACGAATAAATTCTGTATTTGGCTATTGAAGTCACAATTGCCGCAAATCTAAGCTCCATCCATGAGGTTACTAATACCATTTTATCAGGAAGTTCAGAGAGAGGATCATGCACCAAGGATAACACTTAGCTGATGTCAATTCACATGTCCTCTAAGCTTATCTAAGTTCTATCAAAATTTAACAAACAATCTTAAAAGGCCAATATTCTAGAATGCAATACAATGAAAAAAACACCAACTTTTTCAGAATAACTTATGGAAATTCTCTATCGAGGCTGAAATGCACACCGAGTCAGTCAATTCTCGCTCAAAGAGATTCGCAAAAGCTAAAACAATCACCTCATCTATCTCTGAATATTGAGCATGGCTTTAGCCTCAGTCTGCTGCTCAACCAAATCTTCACTAGCATACATACTAAGCAGATCCATCTTCTTCTTCGCCAACACCATCTTCTCTATTTCCTTCTCATCAGGCAACGGAACATGAACAACAAA